ATGAATAGTAATTATTCCAGCATTTCGCAATGCACCCCAACCAATAGACAAAGTTTAAACAAGCGATTGCTAAGTTCATCCATCTATTTCAGTCAGTCGAATTCAGCTGAACTCGTCTGCTTCAATTCATCAAGATCCACTAAGATACGCCTAGCAATTACCGACCCACTCATCGAACAAATCGACGTCATTGATGGGGAATGATTGATGTTCAGTGCATTTAATCAATACGATTTTATGACTGTGTTCACTCGTGCATCGAGTTCAATGAAACTGTTGAAGTGGAGTTCAGCTGAACGAAACAGATTTTATAGTTGACTTTATGGGGCTGATCGGATGTCGGAACTGTAAGATATAAGAGTGACAATAAAAAGCACATATGTGAAAGTTTAATGCACGGACGCTTTTATGATGGCAGATAATGAATGTTAATGGCGTTTTATATTTGGATGGACACAGACGATATTGGACAGCAACATTCACACTTAGCGCTTTTCATTACGACCATCAGCTAGAGCACCTTTATCCTATAGGTCGTATTCCATATGGAATGTGTTGAGTTGTGTGTGTGGATAACGATGCGATATGGATATGGGGTATATAATTTGCAGTTTGTTTACTTCTTCTCAAAACAAAGCTAAAATTTAACATGAATGCATAAATCATTGCTGCGTTTATTGTGCACAAATGAAAAGGCAAACAAACAAATGTAGGTTTTGAGATTGATCGTGATCATAGAACAACAGATATTCGATCGCATTGATGTAAACATGTTCAAACAAACCTTACGAAAGAAATTGTTTTGGTTACGAATTTATTGGCCACGATGACTATTACTATCTTGAATTCAGTTGATTCAGTTAATCTCGACTGATATTCGGCCGCGAGAATGCCTAAATGTGCTTCGTAAATACCGTACTGACAATGGCAATGTTTCCGTTCCTGACCCTCTTTGATGGTATTGATCTGCGCGTTCGATCAAATACTGATTGTGACAGATTCCAAGATAAAGTTTCAGAACAACAACACTCTCAGCGATTCCAAGCAAGTCGCATTGTTTCAAGTTACACGTTCTAAAGCCATCGTATAAAAGAGCGATACGATGTTGCTCATTACGGCTTGTTGA